TGAGGGGCCCCAATTCTCACTTGCCCAAAAAGGACCTGGAAATGAAAGGTGATCACCTTTTGGGTTGCCATGACTAAAAATGGACCCTTACTGATGGACGCGAACTCCTCTTAGGCACCAGATCGGCAAACCCATTGCTGCGAGACATGCAGGGAATGAGACATGGAACGACCCCAAGCAAAACCATGCAACTGGTGGTTGCCTTTATTCGGGAATCCTGAGGTTCATTCCATTCCTCATTCCCTGCCGAGCAGATGGGCAAACCAATAGACCAAAAAAAGAGCATGGGTATGAAACCCTCTCCTGGCATAACTCATGTGTGAAACTTTCTGTGAAGCGTTTGGCAGCACAACATGGAGGTAGACATCTGCACATTGAGGCCAAAGTGACTCACTTGCCCCGGATGAGACATGGAAAATAATAATGGCAATCACCTGTTGGGTTGCCATGACGAAAAATGGACAGCCAACATGTTGGAAAAGCAAAAGGTTAAAAGGCTGGCTTTGGGCAACTGAGTTATAGTAGGAGACCCTGGCAACCCTTCGCTATTTTGGCAAGCCCTTGGTTACATACTAAACCAGGTAAATGATTCCACTGGGCAAAGTACCAAAATGAGCAGGGTTCCACTTGTTGACCCCACGGTAGACTTAAACCCAGGAATTGGTTCTCCTTTCAGGACAAAATCTTGGGGTAGTCAAACAGTGCAACCCTGCCAGAATGACCCATGGTTCCAACAAGGACATGGGCAAATTGGGTGGGCCCCCGCCCTACTTATCTTTACCTCCGGCAAATATTGCTCTTGGCAACTTGGCTTGGGAAAAGGTGGAGAGGCTCGGCCTTGGTTGCAAAGGAGCTGAAATAAGAATGGGATCCCCAAGTAAAGGACCATCAAGGGCCTTTACCATGAGCTTGTTTCACAACGCTTTACTAGATGAGATGGGCATACATAGGAAAATCATCCGCATGTAAGGCTAGCTTCTATCAAAATGAAGCATGCCTCTGTGAGCCTCCCCAAATAATTGGAATCATCATGCCTTGCTTTTCCGGCTTGAACCTTGAAGGGTTTGTGGCTTTGAACATGCTACAATACTGTGGGTGACCAGGATCCTGCACCACTTTGACACCATGGGAAACCATTGTTCCTTGGTACTTGCACTCGACTCATCATCTCAGGGTTTCTTCGGTGGTGCGAACGGATTTCGGCCATCCACAGCAATGAGTTCACTTTTCCCCCAGGTGAGCTGGCCATCACTCGTGAGTTCGCTTAACCTCCAGGTGAGCTCGCCAAAAACTCCACAAGCGCAGGCCAGAGTCGTGAGTTTGCTTTTCGCCCAGGTGAGCTCGTCAAAAATAACAATACCCTCTCTCCAACTAACATAGCACCTCACAGAGGGTCGCTTCAAGAGTGGGAGGGAGGGTAAGCGCACGCAAATCCTTCTGTTGCCCCCCGGTCGCATGGCCTAGAATCGTGGTGCGGCCGGCGCGGATGTCCCCAACCTCGCGGCGGTCGTCTTAGATGCCGAACGGCGTCTTCGGTTGAGTTGCCGGCCACCGGAGTTCTCCTCACTCTTGATGTTGACCCCGGACTAATAAGCCCCTCTTTCTTAATATGGTTGAATCCCCACTAAAACCGAGGACACCCCCATATCAACAAACAGGGGTTTATTGATCTGGGGTCAACATTCGGTGGGTTGGAAGTGACAAAATTAGAACAGTTTTTGCCTTTTTAGGGAGCCCGGCTACTGTTTACTGCGTCAGTGGCCCTGTTTAGCGGCCCCCCAGCCACCAAGTGAGAGATGCTTAGAAAGAAACTTTGGCGTGAATGCGGAGGACCATACCAAATGTTTAACTAGCATAATAAGCATAATGCAGCATATAGTACTGTTGTTTTCTTCCACCCCCCCTAATAGCCTAACCTCCCTCCGCCCCTTTTTTTTCCAAAATACTAACCTACAAATTCAAATGCAACCCTGGAAACTCACATGCAGAGGACGCTCCAATCGGAGGACTTCCGTTTTTCGGGTTCAATTGCAAGCCGGTAAATCGAATCCTATGAGAAAAGTCAAAGCTCGAGAACGCAACTGACAACTCGAAACGATTTTAATCACTTACAACCCAAAAACTGCCCTTTCATCTTTTTTTCGCGGGTAGAATTGGTCTAGGATGACTTTAGGGGGTGATTGAAATTAGTTCTGGTTGAGGCTCTGAGGCTGGGATGTGTCCATTATCCAGTCCAAACATCCGCAAGGGGCGCGTTTTGGCTGAGCTTCCTTGGAGGTTTGCTCCACAAAATAACATGGGCTGCCTACGAAGGAGATCTTCGAAAAGGGGGTGGTCCTTCTCGTCCTCAAGCCCACGAGAGCTCGCACGAGCAATACCTAGACCTGCCAAATGGGTTTGTCTCAAACAAGTGGTGTTCCTGTGGTGTCTGTTTAAAACCATCCCCAACAGAAGGGTACCGAATGGCTAGGATTTCAGTGGGGAATCATGTCAAAAGTGGTTAGTGAACATGAAGCCCCACCCAAATGTTGTCCACGAAAAACTCCGCAGTCAAGGGGACCGGGTCCGGGTCTGAAGTTAAACAGGAGGCCCTTTGGTAGACATCATTTAGGTTGGGGATCCTAACCCGAAACTAACTCCCAGGCGCCAGTTGGACCACCTTCGGAAGTGGTCTCAAAAAGGAATTCTGCGGACCCAAGACCCAACACTAAGCACAACTAAACGGGACAATGGATGAGCTTTGTTTGGTGGCTCGATTTGTTTTCACAACGAGCTGTTCGAACCCCGCGCCGCCAATCAAAGTGGCGTCCCGGATGGACTTGCGCAACAGCAACACTGGGAGTTTGACAGGTCCGGAAAACACAAAATGCGCATCCCCTTTCAGTCTGTTGGAAACTCATCAAACAAATGGCTCTCTCAGGGTTCGCTAGAAAAACAAATACCCTCCCTCCCACTAACATGGCAACTGACAGGCCGTTCAAAAGGGAATTCAGCTTCCAGGTACCTCCCACAGGTGCCATGTTGGACGTTCCAAAATCAACCTGCGGGCACAAAGGGATCGATTCTGAATCCGTGAAGGGACCCTGCACCACCCGTTTGCTGGTTCTCTTCTTGCCAGCTGAAAGGAACAATGATGGACAACCAACAACAGTAGTCTCCGATAATTTTCCGATAATTGACAATCTCCGTTTGAGTAGATGGCACTCCCCCCCCATTGGTTGAGCCATCTACTCTCAAATCAGAGAAACCAAGCTTTCAAGGCAGTCTCAAGCTAGGATTTTGCACGGCCACTTTATCGCTTAAAATCTGCTCTTTGCCCTCCTGCAAATTGACATGGAACCCCAAAAACACCCAATTTGTAGAGGTTTTGAGGACGTACAGAATCTTGGGTAGTTTTTAATTACTTTGTTTCCATGGCTATTTGCAAACTGACCTAAGTTGGAGTATACGGTGTCAGATATTTTGAGAGAAAAAGCAACTTGCAGTCCAAATGGCTTTTGTCCAGATGCATCTGAATCTATTTTTGTAAGGTGTACATCTGTTGTTGCTACTGAGTACTGCATTTGCAGGCATAAACATAGTATAAGCTATCTTGTCAAATGTGCTGTTTAGAAAGGAAACATGAGTATGCAGAGGAGATGTATAATGTGTATTGTTTCTTGAACATGATTTAATAAATTATTCAATTCAGCTTGTTTGTGTATTAAAAACACTTCTCAAACAACATATGCTAACAACTTGTTGTGTTCCACTAGCGCTTGCATGTGTCATTTGTGTTGCATCTGTATAAATTTAAGATGCTCTTTTTTTAGGTAATTGTTCATCCTCTAGGAATACCATCTTTTTGGGGCAACCTACTGCGGATGGACACTATCCTGCACCAGTTGGTGGTCCGTACTGTGGATATACGAAATCCGTTTCGCACCAGTTGGGATCCATAAATAATGGCAAAAACACCTAAAGTGGCCGCTGCTCAAAATGTGGTTCCCAAGAATTGCACCCTGGTAAATGGTTTCCAAGGACTGAAACCTGCGGTCCATATCCTCAGGGTGGTTGAATTTTGAGCCATAACCAAGCGATCCAGAAAAAAACAAATCTCAGTTGTGTTCCTTCTTTTTTTTTCTGGAGGCTTCCTGAGACGTGCGAGGTGCGTAGTGGGTCTCGAAGGCGAAGCGCACGCCCTTGCCGCCCTGGGGCAAGTCACGGGGCCGTGACAGCAGGTGGACCTCCGAGGTGTACTTCTGAAGCTCCTGGCTGGGTCGAAGGCTCGCTCCGAGCCGTCGGGCCCTCGAACAAGGTCATTGGGCTTTGTCCTTTTAATTCCCCTCCACAACCAGTTCAAATCCAAATCCAAGATCCAAACCACCAATGGAGGGGCCGATCCTTGGATGTTTCTCCTGCAAATTAGCAAGTGCCCAAAGCGGGGGATGGTTCCTGAGCTGGGTCCGACACACTTTTGACAAATGGGTCTTAACTGAAGGATGGGTCAAACAAATAGTTTGAAGCCTGGTTTCATGACATTGAGATACTCGCCATACTCACACCCCAAACAAAATAACACATGAGTTGCCCAAAAAGGGGCCCCAAAAGGTTGGCTCGTTGACCTGGGTAAAGCCTGAAGCTCACCATCGGAAGAGTTGCGAATTTGGCGGTGTCCAAATGTGGGGAGCTCAGCAGCTAAGCCACCCCCCCAAATTGGGTGTTTCGCAACAAGTTGCCCGGCATCTTTTTCCAACTTCAATGTTCAACCCCAAACCTAGGATTCAAATGCTAACATCAGGTTTAGCCAAGGAACGACATAAGTTGACCCAGTGTGTGTGTGTGTGCCTCCAAGAGATCTCCAGTGGGTTCGTTTTAGGCTAACCCGCAATTGCCAAATGGGGACCCCTGCCGAAGATAAACTCACAATATGAGGGGGCCCTTTATTTCCCGCCTTTGGGCCAAACACTAAAAGTGAAAACCTTCTTTAGGCGGGGTGATGTTCAGAACGGCCAGTTCTTTTCAGACTGGGCGCAAATCTGCGGCAATCTACGAACTTCGCACCGCGTAGCCTATGGCCAGCGCGAGCACTAGCACCACCAAGCCACAAAGGCTGGACCCATCTTTCAGCTCTTTCTGCTGCACGGGCTGTATGGGATTTCCCTCCGCAGCTCGGCACTCAGCACGGGCCTCTACCTGCGGCTGCGAACCTCGCGGCAGCGCAGCCGCGGTTTTGGCGGCGTCCGCGAAGGCCGCGGGATCTGACCGAAGCATAGCGACGGCCTCTCGGTTGCGCGACCTGCTTCCCTGCTAAAAGTTGAGAACTTTTATAGTGGTTTAATACGGAAGACCCACGAGTTGGCAAAAGTTCAAGGTTTAATACCAAACAAAAACCTGAGTTGGCAAAAAGTTCAAGTCCTCACATCCCTTGGAACATGCCCCAAAGGGCCTCTTCGTTGAGGCCGTGCTCCTCCCTCGGCTCCGACAACAGCGACGCCACGCTCATCAGCAGCTTCTCAAGGCCGATGGCGGGAGACCACAGCGTGGCATCGTTGAAGATGTCGAGGCAGATCCCCCCGGTGCCGCGGCAAATGTTCGGGTGGAAGATTCGCCTGGGCGACGTGAAGCGCACCTCAGTGGCCCAGTTCGGGCCCGGAAATGAAAGGTGCTCACCTTTTTAAGCGACCAAAAAATGATTACCAAACCATACCCAAATTCTGCAAAATTTCCTTAAGCCCCCTGGAGAAAAATAACTGTGTTTCCAGTAGTGAAATCGATTCCCTTCAAAACCAACAGGGATGTTATTTTATTTTTAGGAAGTTCTTTTCAGCAACTGGCAGAAATTCGGTCCAAAAGGGTCAGGTCAATTTTTCCGGTCGATTCGCTGAGGCACCGCAGGGGGGCGGAAGGGATACTCGTCCCCGAAGTGCAGCTCCAGCTCGAAGTCGTGGCCTTCGAAGGGACTGCCCTCAGGGCCCCGCAGCACCGCTCCCAAACCTCAGGTCTTCAGTTACCCTGGAAGAAAAAAAAGAGGGAACCCTTGTTGGGGGGCTTGGGCCATGTTTGGTGGGGCCAGGGAACCCTTGTTGGGAGGCTTGGGCCATGTTTGGTACCCTTGTTGGGGGGCTTGGGCCATGTTTGGTGGGGCCAGGGAACCCTTGTTGGCGGGCTTGGACCATGTTTAGTGGGGCCAGGGAACCCTTGTTGTTGGACCATGTTTAGTGGGGCCAGGGAACCTTTGTTGGGGGTTGGACCATGTTTAGTGGGGCCAGGGAACCCTTGTTGGGGGGCTTGGACCATGTTTGGTGGGGCCAGGGAACCCTTGTTGGGGAACCCTTGTTGGGGAACCCTTGTTGGGGGGCTTGGACCATGTTTGGGGCCAGGGAACCCTTGTTGGTGGGCTGGACCATGTTTGGTGGGGCCAGGGAACCCTTGTTGGGGGCTTGGACCATGTTTGGGGCCAGGGAACCCTTGTTCGGGGGCTTGGAACATGTTTGGGGCCAGGGAACCCTTGTTGGGGGGCTTGGACCATGTTTGGTGGGGCCAGGGAACCCTTGTTGGGGGGCCTGGACCATTTTTAATGCTTGGCCAACAAAAAAAGGTTAGCAAAAGAAAATCGGTGCCACTGAAGAACTGAGCAGCGGCGAGCGTCCCTGGCCTCCAGCGCCGCGATGGGGAGGCGGAGGCCTGATGGAACCCACGAACGCTAGAAACCGAACTCAGGGATCGGGCGGCTAGACCCGAGTAAATATGGTTAAATGGAAACTACCAAACCCCCTTTTTGACTCCCAAACCCCCAAGAAGCGAAAAACCGGGGGGAAGGCTAGCCTGCAGCTTTCAGCTTCTCACATTCTTTCTGGACCCGGGCTGCAACTTTGTCAGCCATGGCAAGAGTGCTCTGCTTGAGCCAGTGCGACGTCATTGCGAAGCAGTCCCAAGATCAAGTTGGGAAGCGCTTCAGATGAACGAAAGCACACCAAACAACCATGAATACTACAAGGATTCATCAATCCATGTCCTTTGACAAAGTGAGGACCCTTATCCTTTCAACATGGGTCTTGAAAAGGGTCCCATGGATTGGCTGTTGCAACAATATGGTTTAAGAAACCCATTACCATTTAGGGTCACTCTTAAAACCTGGTTCTTCCTCAACAAAACGTAAGAAATCAAGGAGGCTACCGCACCAACTTTTGCATAGGATTGTCCATTAGGTTTAACCTTCACTAAATCTCAATAAACAATTTGAGAGTTTCACCCGAAGGACAAAAACAACCTGGGCCGCGTCGGCAGGTCAAATCGGGTCACTTTTTTGCCGCAAACAAGCAGCCGGGTAGGAGGGTCTCTACCCAATTTGGCGGCAGTGTGTTCGACAGATCCCGCCTGCCTTCAAAAGGGGTGGGGGGTGGGGAGGGAGTTCTCCAAAACCATGTGTCTAGCATTGTCCATAACACTGAACATGGAGCCATGAAATCCCTAGTCCATGTTTAAGGGGGCGGGGATTTTTGACAGCTAGGGTGGTAGAGGCTGCTCGCTCGAAGAAAAACAAACTGAAAGCCAACAGGAACCTCGGCAAAGCACACAAGCCAACCAAACAAAAGTTCAGGCAACCCTTGGCTGTTGGTGGTTTGGGGGGGTTGAACCCCTGGTTCTTGTAGAGGGTAGATGGGAAGCCACCCTCTATCCTCCAACCCCCAAATCACCAAGTAGAGACAAGCCGAAAAGTTGAGTTCTTCTTCTTTTTCTTGAGTGACTCTCCAAAAATCGTCCAGTCGGTCTTTTGTGGATGCACCCCCGTAGGGTACAACAACCGCACCAACAGGGGTTTGAGGGAGTCAAAACACCGACGCATACGGAGGAACAAAGAACAAGCACAAACAAGCAACCACACACACAACCATAGGTGGCCTTTCGGAAAAATAGATGGCCCTGGTAAATGGAATAAACCCCAGCTACACCAGGGCCCTCTATTTTTTAAGCAAACCAACCAAAAAGGACACCTATGCACACAACACGCTCCATGCGGAGAAAAGAAAAAAACAAAAACAAAAAAAAACGGCGCTGGAAGCATCTCCGGCTTCCACTTGTCCACTTCTTTCTCTCCTGGACGGTCTCCAGTGCAGCATTGCCCTGGCCCAGTACCACCACGGCCTTCCCCTCGAAGGACTCACCAGACTCGGGCATGTCCTCGCGGAAAAACCGGAAAGAAAGGCTTCCCAAAGACTACCCCCCCAAAAAAGACCAAGCAAGGGCACCTTTTCTTTGCGACTGTCCGTAAACACTTACCCCTTAAAACTCCAAGCCCTGGGGGAAGTTAATCTTTTACAGACATATAGCCCATGTTACCCAAAAGTTGAAAAGTACTCATGGGCCGATTAAAACCCAATCCAATGTGTGCAATTCACCAAGGACACAAGGTGCGCATTTCCCCAAGCAAATGGTCCGCTGATTTCCGTACTTTCTCGACAGATTTCCGTACTTGTTCCGCAGATTTCTGCTGTACTTTTCCCGCCAATTTCCGCGCATTTCCCGCCTCGCATTTCCGGTTTCTGCGTTTTGGCTGAGAAAACCGCGAACTTGAAAAAGCAAGTATAAGAAACTGTCACATGTTGCCCCACAGCAATTGGAGACGAATGACCTGAAGCGGAATGAAGTACGACGGGCCATGCAAATTGCAAACTGTGTTTATAGTGCGTCCAGGAACACCACAAACGCTCACAGCCTGCTAAAGGCGATTTCCGTCAAACTTCCTCAAAAGTGCTCATGCACGATTTGTTCGGACAGTATGGTGCAGGTATGACGCGGGGAGACCCCTTTGTACCACAAAAGAGATTGGATAAACCTCTTGGTCCCACAACCGCGAGAAAGAAGCGCCGAATCGTGATCGCCTTTCCGAGCTGCTCCGCGCTGCCGACACCCGTTTGCAAGGTCTTAGGGGTTTGGCCACTAACTCTCTAAAGAACCCGGCGACTCAGATGTTGCCCCTGCATTTCGGGGTTAGGTTGTTCAACCCCCAGGCAAAAGACCTTGAATTGGGTCCTGCCAATTTGTCGAACCCAATGCTTCACAAGCCAAACACCTGCGAACAATGGCGTGTGGTCACTCATGGGGTCATAAAAAAACAACCTTGTTGTTTGCCAGGAGCCTCTAAAACCGATGAAGATGTCATACGTACAAAAAACCATGATTTTTTTGGAAAACATGTTTTCGGGAAACACCGCATCTTCGATTTCAAGCCTTAGGTACCACTAAAATGGTTCAATCCCCAGAAGTTTAAAGTCCAGGACGTGAGGCTCTATGGTGTCAAAGGGGATCTCTTCGTTTGAGGTACCCTTTTGGGGTAGCTGTCAAGGGAAGCCGAATGGAAACTGCCGTTTTCGGGGTGCCCCATTTTAAGACACTTACCCATACCGCTGCGGGACATTGCTTGCACGGAAGCCAAAACCTGCAGGTGTATCCACGACAAACCTTTGACAACTAGTTGCTCCTTTTTGTAGTACCGTAAGCCGTCTTTGTCATAGCTCGTTTTACACCCCAGGTAAGCTCAACAAAAAAAATGCCCAGATAGAGGGGTCCACAACCAGCCTGAGAACAACCTGAGAACAGCCTGAGACCAGCCCCAGGCCAAGCCAGAGCTGGTGTCCGTGAAAGCGTAGAACACGCCCTTCTCATCTTGAGCCGGTATGGTGGGTGTTTTTCTTTTTTTCCTAGGGACACTCCGAAATGGAAACCCAAAGGACAACCACCCATGGCAGGGGGGGGGAGTCGCCTAAAAAGGGACACACCCAAGCGAGGGGCATTCATGAGTTTGCTGTAGCTTACGCTACAAAGCATGCCTTGCATTCGCTGCAAGCAAGGCAAAGCCACGCTCAAACCTTATGTGGCATGTATATGTCTCATATGTCCAACAAGTACCAACAAATGACGTGTCTGCAAAATACAAGTGCAGCAGGCATGACGTCACTAGTCCGACTTTCTGAATCCAAATCCTGTTCAATTGAAGATGCACAATAGTCTATGTCCCCAGGGATCGCACATCCCCCCAAGCTGGCACAGCCAAAACACCAAACCAGAGAAGGAACATCTCAACATGTCCAATCAAACCGCGAACACTTCGGCAAGGATCGGAATGAATTCTAAGTCGAAGCAAATTCTGACTATAAGTTGAAAAAGCGGAGGACCTCATGGTGGGCTCCTTACCTTTCCGTGAGCTCCAAAGAACAGGCAGCCTCTCCGGTCCTCGTAGCCCAGTAGCAGCTCGCCTCAGCTAATTGGTGGTTTGGATTGATGGTTTGGAGGTTAGGCGGTGGTTTCCCATTCATCTACAAGAACCAGGCGTTCAAATCCCCAAACCGCAAGTCCTGATATTTCCCTCCAAAACCAATCTTCACTTGCCCAAAACCACCTGGAAATAGGGAGGCAACCTTACAAGCACCCCCTCCCCGCAAAACGCTCTTGGAAACTTCTTAGCAGGGCTTCGAGACTTTTTCTTGGGGCAGCCCTCATGTTTGGAAAGCTAAGCGCGCTTTTGCATTTGGACCTTGACTGAACATCACAGGGCGCCGGCAGCGTCGCTGGACCTCCATTTGCTTAAGTCCCCTGGAAAATCATAATAATACTAATGATAATAATAAAAACAATAACATATTTCCAGTAGTGAAATCGATTCCCTTTAAAGCCACCCGGGGAAAAAACAAATGGAAGTGGAAGAACCGCTGGAACCCCAGGAAGAAGCCGCCGAGCCGCTGCCGTCCACCGTATTCTCTCCGGCGCGGGCCCGCGCCAGGCCGCTCGCGAGGATCAGCTCGCCGCAAAGGAAGTCCTCGGCCGCGCCTGGCCGCAGTGCTGTGGACCCGGTGACGACTGACAGAAGCACTGAGAAACCAACCAAGCGAACAAGAAAGACAACAAACGAACAAACGAACAAACAAGGAAGCAGGTAAGCAAGGAACCAAGTGTTGATGTAAAGGGGGGAAGGTATGTGGGGGGGGGGGGTAAAGGGACGTAAATATTACGAATATTATTGGGAGCGTTTCATATAAGAGCATTACACCCACACACACACACACATGTTTTTGCCCATGATCATGAGGGAATTCTTCCATGTACCCACCTAGGGAAACTATGAGAATTGGCAATACAAAGAGGCCCCCTCCTTTAATATTAAGCAGGATATGTGATATGGGGATGGTTTGGAGGAGAACTCTTTACTATTGCGGCAGCGCAGTGCACAACAAGGAACTTACCTGTCAACTGGATTCAATATACTCATGCCCTTTTGGCCTGAGTTCGGAAACTGGCTGCCACCAAGTTTACCAGCCGTTACCCTCTTTCCAACAATCATGGAAAGGAGGACACCTGCCTAAAAAATAGCAGTCTTTCAAAAGCCTTCTGCGCTTGCTGGGAAGAGAGCAACTGTCGGCTGTGGCCCTTTCAGCTTGAAATTTGTGAAAACCGGGAATTGTGGTTTCGTGGTGGGGGTCAGGAAACAAACGAAACGGCAAGAGCTTCCGCAGGGCCTGACTGCAGCACCTGCACTTCAAAGGCTTGCGAGGACTTTGCTCGCCTCACCTGGCAAACGGGAAGCGAAATGATCTGAAGCACTGAAACGCCCAAGCGAGAGCAAAGGCCGACCGCACCGAAATGACCCAAGAGAAACCATGCTCATATATAATACGAACGCGGACGCTTAGAGCCCTAAAACGGTCAAATGGAAGAGGATGCAAATAACATGGAATGACCCCGCAGAAGGTTCGGGTTGGGACCAAGGCCCCACCTCCACACTCTAGACTTGGCAGGGGTTACTAACAGACTAGAAGTGGGTTTGGCAGGCCTTTAAAGAAGAAAGCCGAAACACAAAAGATAGAAAAGCAGAAAGAGGAAAACAACCAAACAGCAGCGGGCAATAACAGTGTCTTCCCATGTTCAGAACCCCAAGTGTCGGAAGGACATGCAAAAC